CATTGTTGTTTGGCGGGCCTGGGCTGGGGATTCGAACCCGCCACCTTAGGTGTATGTGGCTGGTGCCTTAGCCGCTTGAACCACAGGCGCTGAGCCATATAAGGCTTTTTAAAGGCAGAAGTTATAGGCAAAGTCATAAATCAATATATGGTGGTATCCAAAAGGCAGGATATCTTGAAGCAGGGGCTTACAAATCACAGGTGGAAATTTAGAGATTTTTTAATTTGCAATTGGTGAGAGGAGTCTAAAAAGTTGAAATCAGCAAAGAGGAATGTTTTGGTTTAGCTTTGACATACATTAAAGTAAGGAAGTCTGATAGTCACTGTGTGATGTTATGTCTGAATCAGATTGTGAGAGCAAACCAAGATATATTGGATCAGAATGACCACTTTAGCAAGGTTGATGATCTACAGTAGTGATTTTCAACCTATGTACTTCAGCACACTGATGTTCTGTGAGAGGATCTTTAGGTGTGCCATGAAAAATTTTGAAGATTATTAATTAAATTATTTTTGAAACTTCAGTGCCCAGTGAGTATATTCCTTTTCTTCTTCTTTTTTTGATCAACATAATTTAAGTGTGCCACGGAAGTTTAACTATAGGTTCAAGTATGCTGTGAGATATAAAAGGTTGAAAAACACTGGTCTGCAGACATGACTTTCTCCTGGCCCCTCAGGAATGAATTTTAAATGAAAAACAGTGATCAAAATTCTTTAGTCTTTGGCTCCTCTCCTTTGAGGTCTTAGTGACAGTATTTTTCATCTGGTAGGGGTCTTGACTTTTGAAAAACTACTCAAGGACATGTCAAGATATACCTTTAGTTTCTTTAAGGGAACTTGTGACTCATACCAGGGAGACTATTGTTTAAGTTATTATCTTCTTGCTAGTGTTTATTTACTTACCTAATAATTGGTTACCAGCTCACTAGGTGCCTGGAACTCCCCCTTGGAAGGACTCAAAATTTCTCTTTATTTCTATGCTCAGGGGGCCAGACAGGCCCCTAAGAAAGATCCCTGCTGCATCTTAATGCGCACCGTTTAGGATCATCATCATACTTCAATTTTAGAAATGCAAAATAGTGCCTTTTATGGAATTAGCTGGTTTTAATTTTTTATTTTTTTGTTTTATGCTGGTGTTGAAGGCAGTTTTCTCAGCATGGTAAAAAGAAGTTTCAATAACATATTAGTACAATATTAAATCTGATTTATTGAACACTGTTCTCTCAAGAGAAAGGTTAGCTTCCTGGATGCTGGCTAGGCATTTTTTTGAAAGTACATAATAGACTTAAAGCCAGTACTCATTTAATACATTTATATTAAGATCCTTGTCAATTTAAAAGAGGGATAGGCACCAGCACCCAGAATAAGGGATAGAGCCTTATTTTTACTGTCTAAAGCTGTGCTTCTGTTGCTGACCTACTCTTAAAAAAGAAGCATTTCTTCCCATAATTTCCATGTCATCCAAAGTCAATATTGGGAAGGAAAGGAGGATTATTAAAATGGAGCCTGGCTAAGAAAGGGTACCAGGAAGAAGGCAGCTTGCAAGCCTGTCTGCCCACTTTCTTTTTTACCTCAGGAGCAGAGTGTTGACTTAAAGATACCCCTCAATTCATAGCCCTTTATTAACTTATCAGTACAAGGTTCCTGTCTTATTTTGCTCTTTTACTTTTAGCCCTTTATCTTCAATCTACCTGTTACTTCCCTTGCCTACTCATATGCACCTACTGTACTGTATATTTTTTTGTACCTACATATTTGCTTAAAAGATATATCTAGTATAATATAGTTATATGTGTGTCTTCAAATTACATAATGGTATTTGCTTATTTTTTACCTAATCCTGTTACCAAAAGCTCAGCACTTATCCTCTGAGGCTGAATCAATGAGAATGAAGAACAAGGATAAGTGGTTTGAGGAAAAGGAAAGAGAAGTATATTAATTTGCTGGCAGATGAGGAGGGCAGCAGGCTAGTGTCTCAGAGACTGCCATCTTGCCTTTAAGTACAAAACCAGGGCTTTGAAAAGGAGATGTTGGCTGTTGGTCTTAGATCTATGTGACAAGTATCTCATGACATAGCTTCAAACTATTGTTGCTCAACTGTAGTTGGTAGTTTTGGTCTTGGGTTGTCTTGACCTGACCTTATCTCCCATCAACAACAATCTGACTGTCTTCCATCAACTATCAGACCTTATCGCCCATTGACAGCGATCTTGTGACTGGTTTTCAGAAAGTTCTGTTGAGCTGTCTCCTATAGTTTAAGACAATAAAAAATAGCAAAGAACATTTTTCTGCCTCTTTCATCACTGGCCTTGAGAAGGAAGGCAAATTTTAATTCCCCAAAAGGGAGAGATTTTAAAGAGACAACTCATAATACATTTCATTGCCCTTTTTCAGACCTTTACCTCTGTTACAATGCTATGCTTTTAAAGATACAGTCATGTTGCTGTACATATCTAAGAGCTACCTGGAATTCCATGTTTGTATTCATTCCACTTTGATTTTTCTAATTCTTCATTTAAGGAAATCAAAGTTACATCAGCACTGTGTTACAACATCATCATAGCAAATGTTCTCATACAGATCTAGAAAGTTTGTATTTACATGTCTATCTAACCTTATTTGAGATATTTCTCAGGATTTATCCACCAGAGTGGGATGACTGGATCATAGGAACTATATATACTTAATACCACTAAGTATTATGGTCACTTAGGCCAGGTCACTTAGCAGAGTGACTCTATCAGCTTACACTCTTTTCCACAGTGTGTGAGAATTCTTGCCTCTTCACATCTTTTTCCAATTTTGTTTAAGTCAAATCCAACAAAGTTTTTACTTTATAGTTTGTATTGATATTTTTAGAATTTTATTTATGAAGTCTTTCTGTTCTCTTGTGTTTTCTGTTCTCTAGTGTCATTTCCTAGTAGTTTTTATATAGACCTGTTTATATGGTCTTTTGTAGAGATTTCTTTCCATTGTTTCTCACTTTCTCATGGGGCTTAGCAGTTGGTCTTAACTTTTGGCTACTCTTAATGGGAAAAAAAATGCAAGAAGGTAGATGGATTTCCCCCACCAACCCATCCACACTACTTTAAGCCTTGATCTTCCACTCACAGGATTGGGCCCCTTTGACCCTATTTTAGCTACATGTGTGAACTCCTTCTGCACAATTACAGCTGATTAGAAAGGGTTGCACACCTACCCAAGCTGAGTACTCATAATCTTCCTTCAAGGAATTTGAAATTAGGTTGTCTCAGCTAGTCTCTGGAAGGACATGCATATTGAGGAATTTGAGGGTGACCATCTTCCACTATGTGCACAAAGAAGCTAGAGAAATGGTCTGCAGAGAGAGGAGAATAAAGAAAATGTACACAGAGGAACCAAGAAAAAAGTCTTATGGCCCCTTAGGAAGGGAGAGAGTTTGAGCTAGAATGTGAAAGTATTAATAGCTGTCCTGGATCCTAAATGGCTTTCCAGTTTCTGGTTCTAGTCTCTCCTGAGACCACATTGCATTTCCTTATCTGTATGTATTAGTTAAGGATGGCTAACTGCTGTAACAGATAGTCTCCAAAGTATATAATGACCAAAACACAACAGAAGTTTATGTCTTACTCATATAAAGAGGTCCAGATGACTTGAAGTTCGTGGAGGATTCCGCAGCACTTATTAAATCAGGAACTTAGGTTGATGGAGGCTCTGCCATTGTAACACATGGCTTCCAAGATCTCTCTGCTTGTCAGTACCCATCCCACAGAAGAGAAATGATCATGGAGTTGAATAACATGGGAGGTTTTATAGGCCAGACTTTGAACTAGCAGGATCACTCACATTCCTTTGGCTGGAATTCATCACAAACCCACATTAAGCTGCTGTTCTTTTTTTTTTTTTTAATTAAATCATAAAGAGGTAGATCATGTATACATTAATGCATTTATGGGGTACAGTATGCTGATTTTATATGGTGCATATTGCAAGGGTACATGTCAGATCTATTAAGTATAGAGTATAAATGTCTTAAGCTACTGTTCTTAAATGAGATATTAATGGGAAGTATATCAGCAAAATAATTTTAAAAACTTATGGTCTCTTTTTTTTTTTTTTTTTTTTTGAGACGGAGCCTCAAGCTATCCCCCTGGGTAGAGTGCCATGGCATCACGCTCACAGCAACCTCCAACTCCTGGGTTCAACCGAGTCTCCTGCCTCAGCCTCCCAAGTTGCTGGGACTACAGGCGCCCGCCACAACGCCTGGCCATTTTTTGGTTGCAGCCATCATTGTTGTTTGGCGGGCCTGGGCTGGGGATTCGAACCCGCCACCTTAGGTGTATGTGGCTGGTGCCTTAGCCGCTTGAGCCACAGGCGCCGAGCCAAAACTTATGGTCTCTTTAAAGGGTTTCAGGAGTTGTGTAGATAGTATGTATGGAGTCTGAAAATGTGGTCTCACTATGAACCCAGAGGAAGAGAATATGGTAAATAGCTAGAGATTATCACTTCATATTTAGTTTCTGTGTGATACCTCATTAACGTTTTAATTAAGTACTTATTTTTCTTCTTGTTTGAGTTGGCATCTGTTATTTGTATCTTTATGCATGAAGTGTTTTCATGACAGCCATATTTAAAATAGTAGAAGAGATAAAAACTGATTAATTCATTTTCTCAGGAAAGTTGGGCCGGTTTCCACCAATGATGCACCATCACCAGGCACCTTCAGATGGCCAGATACCTGGAGGTCGTTTCCAGAGATCCCACCTTGCAGAAGCATTTGCAAAGGCCAAAGGATCAGGTGGAGGCTCTGGAGGAGGAGGTAGTGGAAGAAGCCTGATGGGGCAGATTATTCCCATCTATGGATTTGGAATCTTTTTATATATACTGTACATTCTGTTTAAGGTAAGTGGAATCATCTCACTCATATCAATGAAAATCTGATATCATTGCAATAAAAATCATTGTCTATATCAAAACCCTTTACAGTTCATGAAGCTCTTTCAAATTCATCATTCTTTAAACTTGGTGTCCTCTTTCTGAGATACTTAGGATAGTTATCATCTCAGTTTTACAGATGAGAAGTCTTAGTGTTTTAAGTGCCCCAGAATTACATCTAAAAAGTCAGAACCAGGATTTGAACCTGCATGTTGTGGTTGCTAATCCAGTGAGTGATATAATTCAAAACTCTCCCCTCCCTCAAAGACGTGAGCAATTTTACAAGCTGAAAAGGCATTAAATATTTTCTAAGAGGAGTTTTGCTATTAAGATTGGTACAGTGATTTCCCAGTAGCTACTATAAGGCCAAACAACGACTGTGCCAGCTGCACCTTGTCCTCCTTCTTTCCCCATAGGAATATGAGGTGCTGTTTTTAATGTCATTTCCTATAATGCTCCTGAGACAGAACTGTCATGTCCTTAAATTAAGCCTGATATTTCCTAGCTAAGGAAGACATTGTTTTGGTTATTTATTTATTTATTTATTGTTTTTTGGGGGGGCGGGGGGTAGACTCCACTTTATTCTTCTCTTTCTTTTTTTCCCCCTTTTATTAAGTCATTTACACTTAGATCATGAATACATTTATGCACTTGTGGGGTACAGTGTGTTGATTTTTTTATACAATTTTGAGTGGCTTACATCAAAGTAATCAACGTAGCTTTCACCTCGCTTACTTTGTGTTTTGGTCCTTTAAAAGCAGAGCTCCCACTTAAGTTCTATCTCCAGCTAGGCTTTTGTAGGCTGTGGGCCTATGTACTGTGAAGCAGAGGCAGAAGCTTCTCTTTGTCCTCCTCTAACTAGAGAAAGCTTAGGTGAGATAAGTTCCTCTTATCCAGGAACTCTGCAGGCAGTTTGACTTGAGTCTACAAGAAAGCATATAGGGTGATGTACATCCCTTTTAGATGAGTGCAAGTGAGGCAGATGGACCTGTAGGGAGATGTTTTTTCCCTATGCCTTGGTAATTTTTTACTTGGAGATCTCATCTTTCAGTGTGTGGATTTTTTTTTTTAGATATTTCTTAATGTTGCTATTTGATTTCTGACTTAGTTTTTGTTCCCAACCTTTTTTTTTTTCATTTAATATGAGGGGTTCCATGAATTTGAGGTTCTGAGCTGCTGTTGATGTGCTGTACCTCCTTAAATTCTCAGCTCTCAAAGGGGAAAACAACTGCAGAGGATCGGAAATGCTCTACTGCCACAGCAGGAAACACCCACAGGAAAATTAGTAAGTATTCCCTCTTAGTGTATTCACGAGTGTTACTGAGTCAGACAGCTATAATACAGCCAGGTGAGCCATCTGTGGGTATGTCATAAAAGCTTTTCACAAAAGTTGCTCCAAAATTAATCTGATACCATTTTTGCCTTAGCTCTGGGAATTCCTAAAATTTCCATATTGATGTTGGGCTTTTAAGGGAAGGATAGCTACACAAAGTACAGAATCACCAGTTTACTTTTTTATATATTAGCAAATTCAATATTTCACATTTGGAATGGGTTACTTCTCATTCCTAGGCTTCAAAATATTGGTAACTAATATCTTTATTTCATATTTCAAAATTATATCCAGGGAAAGAGTTTAAGACTTCTAAGTTTTTTTTTTTTTTTTTTTGAGACAGAGTCTCACTCTGTTGCTCGGGTAAGAGTGCTGTGGCATAAGCCTAGCTCACAGCAACCTCAAACTCCTGGATTCAAGTGATCCTCCTGCTTCAGCCTCCCAAGTAGGTGGGACTATAGGCTCCTGCCACAACACCCAGCTAATTTTTCTGTTTTTGGTAGAGACAGGGTTTCACTCTTGCTTAGGCTGGTCTCAATCTCCTGAGCTCAAGGAATCCTCCCACCTTGACTTCCCAGAGCTTTGTCCTAGGATTACAGATATGAGCCAGCATGCGCAGTTAACGCTTCTGACTCTTGATACATGGTCATCAAATATTTATTCCCCAACTAGAATATTCTGTGTTCTTAGAGGAAATTTTATGTATATATATATATGTATATATATATCATAGCTCTTTCCTCTAAGAATTTATAGACTAGAATGAATGTTAGGAAAAATAACCTCTGAAAAGTTTGCCACCTAAAAAGAAAAGACTTGGCAAGCATTGTCGGAAATCATGTCTATCTAGGTCATAACTGGTTTTTGCATTTACTCCTGGATTCTCCGTGGAACTAGATACTCCCAGTCATATTTTGCATCCCTTCTGGAAATCTTAAATATTCAAGAAATCCTTTGAGAAAGCTGCTGTTCTTAAATGTGATATTAATGGGAAGTATATCAGTAAAATAATTTTAGAAATTTATGGCCTCTTTCAAGGGTTTAGGGAGTTGTGTATGATAGTTCTTAGAATGATGCTTATTTTTCAGCCAATTTTGAGCTTGCTCAACTGCAAGAAAAACTGAAGGAGACAGAGGAAGCCATGGAAAAATTAATCAGCAGAGTGGGACCGAATGGGGAGAGGTAGGTTTTCATCTAACAGGATTCAGGCTGCTTCCCATTTAGAGAATCCAAAATATTGCATTTCTTTGGTACTTATTTTTTTCTGGAGCACTTATTTTCATTTTGTGTAATTGCCAACTTTTTTATTTATCATTTACATATTCTTTTTTATATAACAGTAACATTTGCATACTATCAAAAACCTTAGTTTTTAAGAGTTTAGTGTTGTGTAAAATTATTATGATAAGTAAATTTGTGACTAAATCATGCAGGGTGAAATAACTAGATTTTAAGAAAGATAATTTTCTACCTGTCTAAAAAGAGGTATAATTTTAAGTAAAACCAGATTATTGAATATTATACTTTCTATTTGAGACCACATGAGAGAGGAGAGTAAATGTGCTCAGATTAGGTATTTGTGTTTTGTGTTTACCATGTCAGCACAGAATTAGACATGTAAGGTAGATGTCCCGAGCCAAACCAGCCCTTTAGGGTACCCCACAGGGAAGACTTACACTTTTCTTGCTGCCAGGCTCACTGAGAATCTTAAAAGGTGATGGAATCTTAAAAGGAAGTTGATGGAAGTGGGCAGCAACTAAGAAAATAAGAAGGTAACTGTTTTGGGGGGAGGACAAGCCAGACTGTGAGATTAAGAACAAACAGGGCTTAGTTTCAGTTATGCCTCTCACAGGAAGGAGGAAGAATGGCAGGGTGAGCAGCAAAATCCCAAGCAGGAAGATGTGTTGAAAGGTGCCCCCCCACCCACCTTTGGGAGCACACTATGGAGTCTTTGCCCCAGGAAACACTGTTCCAGCTTGGCTTCTTCTTTTTGCCATCTTTGATGGTACTAGTGCCCCATTCCCTTCTCTGCTCACTGGCTCCAGCCTTGCCCATCTTTGACTGGTTAGGAGAAGAGTAGGTATTGTCAGATTGCAGCCTCCTGGCATTTTCCTGCAATGTATATACAAAGCTATTAAAACGATAAGTGGATGACCCAGACCCCTGTCTGGGTCCTAAAGCCTTGACTTTCTTTTGGTATGGACAGCAGGCTTACTGTCTAGATTCTAGGATGATGCCCAAAGTGATAGAGACACATGAATATATCTGTGTGAGTATATGGTAATAATTGATATTTGTTGAACACTTACTAAGGACCATGCCCTGAGATAATTACTTTATATACAGATAACGTATAGCTATTTGCATGGTTTTGACTAATCACTTTATGCGGTTATGCTTTTCTGGCCCCTGTTCTCTGGACGCCACTTACAGTTTTGGGGGAGAACTGTCCAGGATTTTTTAGACCCTCATGCCTCAAAAAATGTCTATACTTTAACCTGGGCCATTGGAAGCTGCAGGCCACACCTAAGGGTCATGAAAAGCATACATGAATACCTATGGTCAGGGCTTTTCACGTGGGAGACCCAACCCCTGAGCCTTGAGTGAGAAACACATGAAGATATTTTCTCATTATTCCTCCTTGTTGAGTAAAAGACTCCCTTAATTCAAATCAAACCATCACCAACCATTCAACCCGTGTATACCATCTGTCTATAGCCCAAGCTGGGATGCAATACTATAACCCTTCACTACTATTTGTCCACGCTGTGCCATATTTACTTCTCCATGATTTATGTGCCAAGGCAGAGGACTTGTCCCTGGGCTGCTGCTGGAGTTGCTTGTCCCTAGGCTGCTGCACTATCTCCTTGTTTCTGGTGCCACAGGTCCTAGCCCAGAATGTTTACTTTTTATTTAGTGTAAGGTGCTGAGGTGTAGACTCTTTGAGAACATGTTGATTCAAGCCTGAAACATGGCAAAGGTTATGTAAAACATTTTTCACAGTACTTCTCAGGATCTTGGGAGCAGCTCTCCTTCCACTGAAGAGAGCATAGCTCCTAGTTCTTTCTCAGTCTTTAACTTCCAGTCCATAAGATGAACTTTCTGATACTCTTTAATCCAATACACTTTATCCTTACAGGTAAGTCCTATAGGACAATGGGCCCTCAAAACTGTAATGGCTAAGCAGTGTATATGTCTTAATCTGTTTTCTGTTGTTTTAACCGAATACCACAGACTGGGTAATTTATAAAGAATAGAAGTTTATTTAGCTCATAGTTCTGGAGGCTAAAAACTCCTCGGTCCAGGGGCAGGTAGCCAGTTAGGCCTTCTTGCTGCGTCCCAGTGTTGGAAAGGAGGAAGGGCAAGCAAGCGTGTGCAAAAGAGTGAAGCAGGAGGGGCCAGACTTGCTTTGTAAGAATCTGCTCTTGGGATAGTTTACTGACTCCTTTGGTAATGACAGATTTTCATTTGTGAGGGCTCTGTTCTTATGACCTAATCACTTCTCAAAGGCCCTGCCTTTTAATGCTGTCACAGTGGCATTTACCTTTCCACCTCAGTTTCAAAAGGGACTAATATTCAAACCATAGCACCATGTTTCTACATTGTTTTACTTTTTATACTTGTAGTGTATATCCTTTAATCTCAGTTTCTGTGGTATTGGTTCTTTTACAAGTCTGTGCTTCTATAGTTATTGTAAGAGCCCCAAATACTCCAGTTTTTGTTCTGTCAAATCAAAATTGTATCACATCTCTAGGCTTCTGGGGATCAAGCAGAGGATTTATGACAAAGAAGACACTTCCTAAGTCTTTATATAATATTCATCCCACAGCTACAAGATGTTGGCTTAAAATTCAAGAAATATACAGTTTCTGAAACTTTATCCTAATGCTCATGTAAGAATAGAAATATGGGGAAAGTTTTTGATTTAATCTAATAAAATTTCTCAGATAGCTTTTACATGTTTAAATAATGAAACCTCCTAGAAGTTAATTTTATTTTGCCATATTAGGTCTGTATAAAGCACAATATCCAGCCTCAGGACACAAAGACTAAGAAAAGGATCTAGGAATCAGAAGTAAGATGTCCTCATTTCTGTTTTTATAGTCAGCAGAATTTCCTTCCTGGAGTAGCACGCCCAGTTGTAATGATGTATCTGTGAGAAGCATGGCACAGCTCACGATGTTGTAAAGAGCCCTGGAAGGCATGTTGAATGTATTTGTGGGGCTACAGATTTCTGGCATGGATTGCTGCAATGTAAAGTCTTTGAGGACGGATTTAGTCTGTTTTGTTTACTGTGTTCATGTAGTAGGTACTAAGTAAATAGTTGTTAGAGGTATTCACTTTTGATATAAGCATTTTCCATATTTTCATGGTAGAAGAGTAAGTAACTCATGACCATTCCCTATTGAAATCCCTTTTTAAGTTCCTGGCTTCTGTATTCAAGAGCCCTACTAGATATATCTCCTCTTAGCCTCATCAATTGATAAATGTCTCTTGAATGAATGAATGTCCAAAATGTAACTCATCATCTATTCCCACTAAACCTACTCTCTTTAATATTCCCACCTCAGCAAATGGCTCCACCATCTACTTAGTTACCTGAAGCAGAAATTAGGCATCATCCTTGGTTTACCTTTTTTATTTCACTTTCTATGTCTCACCAATCACCATGGTCTTGTCCAGGGGTCCTCAAACTTTTTAAACAGGGGGCCAGTTCACTGTCCCTCAGACCATTGGAGGGCCAGACTGTGGGCCCCAGGACAAGTCGGCTGCTAAGCAGGACAGACAGCGGCAGCAAAAAGATCCTGGCAGGCTGGATAAATGTCCTAGGCGGGCCACAGTTTGAGGACGCCTGGTCTTGTTATTTACACCCAATTAATAGATCATTCCTAGAAAAAACTAAGTTCTATGAGGACAGGGATTATTCTTAGTTTTTCCTTCCTAAGTGTAATATGAACTTGGAATGCTTTGGGTTTGTAAGGGGAGAACAAATAGTTTCTGTTAATTGCCACTTGATAAAACTGAACTCAAAGCAGATAGGTCTCAGTCTTCTAAGTAGGACCTTGTTTGCCTATCAGTATGATGCAGTTCTTCCCTCTCAAAGAAAATAATTAAACTATTATAATCCTTGAGGCTGGTGTTATTTTTGCAGATACTGTCCTGATCCACAGAGCTAAACTGGGATTCAAACCAGGATTTCTAAACTGTGGAACTTGAACATTGTGCTTAAGAATTGTATAGAACATGGGACACCCATAGCTCAGAGGTTAGGGCACCAGCTGCTCCGGGGCTGGTGGGTTTGAACCTGGTCCAGGCCTGTTAAACAGACAAAGAAACAAACAAAAAAATAGCTGGGCATTGTGGTAGGCGTCTGTAGTCCCAGCTACTAGGGAGGCTGAGGCAAGAGAATTGCTTGAGCCTGAGTTTGAGATTGCTGTGAGCTATGACACCACCTCACTCTACTGAGGGTGATGAAGTGAGACTTTGTTGCAATAAAAAAAAAAAAAAAGAATTATATAGAATACTGTCAGAAGTGAAGGTAGTTTTGATTATCATGCTGCTAGTTAATAGCAGCATTTGTAACCCAATTTCTGTCTAGATGACTAAATTTTCAGAATTACTGAGCTGTAAAATTTTAGAATGTATCATTGTTCCTACACAAGTAAATTAAGCTTGGTGATTCTAGTAGCATATTTGTCCCTGGTTGAGGCTAATGGCCCGGAGTATTTTCCTTTGATGACTTTGCTTCAGAGAAAAGTGGCTTTGTAGTAAAGGGAGTAATGTCATAAACAGTGGAATTGCTAGGAGATTAGAGATGAGGGCAGTGAAGTATACTGAAGGAACACTGAACTGAAAGCTGAGATTTCAGGGTCTGGTCCAATTATTGATATTAAGCATTGTGGGACCTTGGGCAATCACTTGGTCTATTCTGGGCTTTAGTTTTCCCATTTTAAAAATAAAAACATTGAACTATCATCTCTAGTTCCCAGTGATGCAGTTTCAGGATCAGTTCTTAGAATAATTATCTGCTGCTGTTGGACTTTCTGTTCTAGGATCTAGACAGAGTATAGTGATGCTTATGTCCATTGCCTAGGAGTATTTATTGATAAATGCCTGGATTGTCTGATATTTCTAAGCAGAGCACAGACTGTGACTTCTGACCAAGAGAAACGTTTGCTACATCAGCTTCGAGAAATCACCAGAGTCATGAAAGAAGGAAAATTCATTGACAGCACCTCCCCAGAGAAAGAAGCTGAAGAGGCACCTTACATGGAAGACTGGGAAGGTAAACAGTGTCTTTTTATTTCTTTATTAGCTGTGTGCCCAGAAGAGAGATATAATTTTTTTTAAATTCAGCTTTATTACTGAAGTATAACATATGTATAGTACTATTCACCAATTTTAAATGTACTGATGAGTTTTTGACAAATGTATAGAGTTTGTGTAATCACACCATGGACTTGACATAGAACCTTTTCCTCACTCCAGAATGTTCCCTCTTCTTTGGAGCTAATCCCCTTCTCCTGCCCCTGTGAATAATAGAATATTTTCTGCTTTTGCCTTTTCTGTATAAGTGGTTCATACCACCTCTGCTTTTTGGTTTCTGGCTTCTTTGATTAACATAATGCTTTCAAGATTCATGTGTATTGTTGTGTGTATCACTATACAAGTCTTTGTTTGGATGTATATTTGTGTTTCTTTTGAGTATATATCCAGGAGTGATATTTCTGATGGCAAGTGTATATTTATTTTTATTAGAACTGTCAACCTGCTTTCCAAAGTGACTCTGCCATTTTGCCTTTTCAGTAAAAGTGTTATGAGAATTGCATTACTCCATATCCTCGCTAATACTTGGTATTGTCAGTCTTTTTAATTTTAGCAATACTAGGGCGTATATAGTGGGTATTTATTTCAGTTGTGACTGAAATATGCATTTCCCAAATGACTAATAACATTGAACTTTTTTTTTTTTTTTGAGACTAAAGTCTCACGCTGTCACCCTGGATAGAGTGCCATGCCATCATAGCTCACAGCAACCTCCAACTCTTGGGCTCAAGCCATCCTCTTGTCTCAGTTTTCCTATTTTTAGCAGAGATGGGGGATCTCATTTTTCGCTCAGGTTGGTCTTGAACTTGTGAGCTCTAGCAATCCACCCACCTTGGCCTCCCAGAGTGCTAGGATTATACGTATGAGCCACTGTGCCTGATGATGATGAACGTTTTTTCATGTGCTTATTTACCATCTGCATATCTTTGAAGTTTCTGTTCAAATTGTTTGCCAGTTTTTAAATTGAGTTGATTATGTTCTTAGTTACAGGAGCTCTTTATATATGTTGGATATAAGTTCTTTATCAGTTATGTATTTTGAAAATATTTTCTCTTAACCTATGCTTTGCTCTTTTATTTTCTAACAGCATCTTTCAAAGAAGAGAAGTTTTAAATTTTTAATGAAGTAAAATTTATCATCTTTTCATTTTATGATTCACATTTTTGTGTTCTATTTAAGAAATCTTTGCCTAACCCCAGGTTTGCCTACTTCCTAAGTTTTCTTCTAGAATTTATGGTTTCAACTCTTAAAAGTAGGCCTGTGATTTTAATTGCAATAGATGGTATAAGGTATCAGGACTGAGGTTTGTTTTTTTCATATCAAATGCTTGATTGTTCTGGCTCCTTGTCTTACATTAATTACCTTGGCACATTGGTTGAAAATCAGTTGACCACGTATGTGTGTATCTGTTCTGGAGCCTATTCTGTTCCATTGATCTATGTATCTATAATTTTACCAATATCACTGTGTTTATTACTGTGTCTTTACAGTAAGTCTTTTTAAAAAATTTTTTTATTAAGTCAAATACACATAGATCATGAATACATTCATGCATATGTGGGGTACAATGTCCTGATTTTTTTTATACAATCTAACGTGGTTACATTAAACCAATCAATATAGCTTCACCTCATTTACTTGATTATTGTGCCAAAACATCTATGCTCTACATTTCACAGATTTGACTTGTACCCTTGTCATATGTTCCATAGGTGTGATCCCTCCTTTTACCCTCCCTCTGTTGAACCTCTCCCCTCCCCTCCCACTCCACTTCTCTCCATCATCTTGGGCTATAGTTGTGTTCTATTTTTGACAAGAATGTGTGAGTAAATATAAGTAGGTTTCATAGGATTACTGAGTACATTGGATACTTTTTCCTCTATTCTTGAGACACTTTACTCAGCAGGATATGTTCCAGATCCCTCCATGTAAACATAAAAGAGATAAAGGCTTCATCTTTTTTTAAGGCTGCATAGTATTCCATGGTATACATATACCACAATTTATTAATCCATTCATGGGGTCGAGGGGCAGTAAGTCTTGAAATTGGGTAGTGTACGTTCCTTTTTTTTTTCAAAATGTCTTCACGATTTCATGTAAGTTTACAGTGTGTTAGTTTATATGAAAAAGCCTGATGGGATTTTGGTTGGCGTTGCATTGAATCTTTAATTTGGGAGAATTGATATTATAATAATATTGAATCTTTGAATTCATAAGCCTGTAGTCCTTCATTTATTTAGGTCTTCAAAAATTTCTCTTATCAATGTTTTATAATTTTCAGTATATAGGTCTTGTACATATTTTATAAATTTATCCATAAGTAGTAGTTTATATTTCTTATGATATAGTGGTGTTTAAAAATTTTTGTTTGCTACTATGTAGAAATATAATTGAATTTTGTATTCTGACCTGGTATTTTGTGACCTTATGAAATGTTCTTAGTTCTAGTAGCTTTTTTAAACATGTAGATTTCTTAGGATTTTTTACATAGACTATCAGATTGTAAATAAAGACAGTTTTACTTCTTCCTTTCTAACATGTCTTCCTTTTTATAATTTTTCTTGCCTCATTATATTGGCTAGATCCTCTCCCAAATGCTGATGAGAAGTGGTGAGGGCAAACATCCTTCTTTCCTGCTATCGGGGGAAAATACACATTCTCTACTGATATGATGTGAGCTGATGGTTTTTCTTGGATGTTCACTTTCAGGTCGAGGAAGCTACCTTTTATTTGTATTTTGCTGGGAGTTTTTACTCATGAGTGGGTATTGAATTTTTGTGAGTATACTTTTAAATGAACTGAGATGATCATATTATTTTTCTGTTTTGGTTAATATAGTGAATTACATTAATTTTTAAATGTTAAAACAACTTTACATTCCTAGGATAAACCCTACTTTGCCACGATGATGTATGTGACTAGATTGAATTTGCTAAGGATTTTTTTTATGTTTATGAGAGATACTGGTTTGTGGTTTTCTTTTCCTATAATGTCTTTGGTTTTGATTTCAGGGAAATTCAGGGCCTCATAAAATGTGTTGGGGTATGTTTTTTGTTCTATTTTCTGGAAAAGTTTGTATAGAATTTGCTGTATACAAGTATTAGGTAGAATTCTCCATTGATACTTTGACCTGGAGTTTTCTTTGTGGGAAGACTTCTAACTATAAATTTAATTTCTTTTAATAGATACAGTGCTATTCAGTTATCTATTTCTTCTTGAATGAACTAAAATGGTTTGTATCTTTCAGGGAACTTACGTATTTCACCCAAATTACCAAACCTATTATTAGTATAAAGGTGTTTTTAATGCTTCCTCATTATCCATTTTATGTATATAAGATGTGTAGGAGTGTGCCCTGTTCTTTTCCTGAAAATTTGTTCTCTCATTTCTTTTCCTGATTAGACTTGCCAGAGGTTTATCAACTTTCTTGATCTTTTCAAAGAACTATATTTTTATTTCATTTGTTTTTTTCTATTTTTTTTCTTTTTCCTGTTTCACTGATTTTTCTATTCCCTTCTTTCTGTTTAATTTGTCTTTATTTTGTCATTCCTTTTCTAATTTCCCCAAATGGAAGCTTAGATCCATAATCTGTTTTCTTCAGCCATTGTTTCATTAATGGTCTTTTTTTCCCCTCTCCTTCTGACTTTCCAATTGCACACAGGTTTGATATTGCCCCCCAGTCATGTATGGTCTATTCATTATTTTTTTCTAGTCATTTCTCTTACATGGTTAAATTTTGAATAGTTTTTTTTTTGAGATGTCTTCAAATTTATTGATTTTTTTCTTCTGCAGTATCGAATCTTAATCCTGTTCTGTATGTTTTTAATTTTAGATATTATAACTAAAATTATTGTATTGTATTTTCTTAAACATGTAAGGCCTATTTAGAATAGCTTTCCTAACAGTGATGGCTACTAATTTCATCATTTGTGTCATGTCTGGATCCATTTCTAGTGATTGACTTTTCTCCTGGTTATGGGTTTTATTTTCCTTCTTTTTTTACATGCCTAGTTGGTTTTGACTAGATGATGGGTATTTCAGATTTTACATCGTTAGATGCTGGATTTTGTTTTAGAACTTTAGATAATGTTGGACTTCATTCTGACCAGAAATTAGTTGAATCTTTAAAGGTTTGTTTTTAAGATTTGTTAGACTAGGTCTAGAGCAGCCTTTATCTAGGGCTAATTTAGCTCCACTAGTAAACCTGATGCCCCACAAAGTCTTTCCACTGCAGCTAATGAGAACATGAACTCTTCCCAAGTGTGTGAGAACTCCAGAAATGTTTAAACCTACTGCTTTTAGCAGTTATTTTCCAGGCCTTGGATAGTTCTTTCCCATTTTATACAGATCTGTACTCAGCTAAAAACATAAAGAGGTCCCTCTGCAGATCTCCAGAGGTCTTTCTCACAAAGGTTCATACTTTCTACTATTCTTTCCTGTAAATTCTAGCTGCCCTGGCCTGCCTGAACTCTGATCTTTGTTTTCCCAACTCAGTGAGACCACTGAGCTTTCTTTTCCTTCTCTGAGGAATTATTTCACACTGCCTATTATGCATTTTTGAAAATTGGTGCTTCAATATGTTTTATTTGGTGTTCTAGTCATATAACGTAGGGATAGGGAGTCCTCATGCCTCCATTACTGCCAGAGCAGAAGTGAGACCCTGCACATCTAACACCGAGATAATTCCAGATATCCTCACAGGGTGCATGAGAGGAACCTTGAAAAGATGGCTGTATGTCCTGGCTATTTAGCTGGTAAGAACTTTTTCAGCATTATGAACTTTGAGTTGATTTTTGTATTTAGTATGAGATGAGGGTCTGATTTCATTCTTATGCATGTAGATTTCCAATTTCCCCAGCACTATTATTAAAGAAACTATCCTTTGCCATTGCTGATTTTGGGCATCTTTTATGAACATCAACTGACCATAATGTGTGGATTTATTTCTGTTCTGTTGTA